CTTTTAGTAACGGAGAAAACAGCATGGAAGTCCTAGCTACACAAGGGAGGAGAATCCATCTCCACACCAGTCCAAGTCAACTGCCACAAGGCACAGGACTGCATGCCTCCACACTCCAGCTACCTTTATTCTGACACAAACTGTGCCTCCCACCGCCCTCTACTTCTTTACTGAGCTCCATAATTTACTGCAAGGCCACAGAGAACTCACATACTGCACATATGACTATGAGGGTTCACTAGGGACGTTAACAGGTTAGCACAATCGGGATCATAAGACATTAAGGATAGCCTTTGGTCCACAGCAGCACCTCCTCAGCCAGCAGCCAAGTCTCCCTCTGGTCCTCAGCCTCTTAGTCATACTGCATGTCTTTTGGCTTCAGCCTCCGTGGGCCAGGAAGTCAGTTTGCTCTGCCTCAGTTTCAGTCTCAGCACGGCTCCTTGGGTCTGTCTCCTGGTCTCCTTGCCTCAACCTCTGGTTTCAGCATGGCATGACTTGAGGTGTCCCTGACTTTGAAAGCGCTGTTCTAGTGGCTCTTCTTTCTCAATGGCACTGGGAATTCCCTCTGCGCAGCTCCCCCACAGAAGAATGGCAACCAACAATGACCAATGCCTTCTATCAAGTGTTTCGCAAACCCCACTGCACAGTCCCACCAAGTCATTTGGTGGGAATACTAAAGACATGAATAAAAGAGCCACACTTTTGGGTTTAGCACAGTAAGTCTGCCACCAATCCTGATGCCACATTCTTCTTCACATAGTCCAACTTTTCTGATTATACAGACTGAGTAAGTACCGGGAAAGGATACAATTCCAATGCACACCGTTCCCAATTTTAAAGCATATAATATTCCCTTCTTCTGTTCAAAGAACTGCCTCTTGGTCCATATATAGGTTTTAAATGAACACAATGGCGAGTTCCGGAGTTCTCATTCTTCTCAATACAATCTATGGTTTGTTGTGATCCACAACCTAAGCCTTTAGTTTCTGCCAAGATGTAGTGGATGTCAGCAATGATATCCCCGTTCCACATTGTTGTTTTTTTTTTAATCATTTTATTGGGGGCTTGTACAACTCTTATCACAATCCATGCATACATCCATTGTGTCAAGCACTTTTGTACATTTGTTTCCCTCATCATTTTCAAAACATTT